GGGCCTTTTATGTGACAAGGGCTCAATTGAGGGAGATGCTGTACTGACTGCTGAACTAGTGTCTGTCATGAGGGAAACCACCTCAAAGCAAGAAGCTCGCCATAATCCAGTAACCAGAAAAATGCAATGTCCTCTACTAGTTCACAGATTGAGTTAACTTTCTATCAGATGTGTACCTTATCAGACCAAAGAAATCCAACCATAAGATACAACTCTGTTGAAAAGCTGGTTTCCTTGTCTCACAGCTTGTGGACTGATGCTCAAAACTCTAAGGGAAGCTACAAGAATAATACGGAGGGACTCCAGTAAGAAGCAACATCCTTTTCCACCTACAAGACATTCCTGATGCTAAGGACAGTCCTCAGCAATTCAGACTGAAAGATCAGCCCTTATAGGGGCCTTCAAGTAGAAGTCCATCCACTCTTTGTCTTTTTAACCATAGCCTCCAAATCCATGCCTAAGAGGCATTGCTAAGCCTGCCTGTACCCACACAGTGGTCTCCCAGGGCTCCCAGCCTCAGTCTTCCTGGCTGCAGACAAACCACAACAGCTGTACAAACCTGAACCTTGCCAGAAAGTCTGCCAGCTCCAAACCCCACAACATCCAGAGACCGAACATAAAGCAAACAGCAATGCCAAAACGTTACGCTAGCCTGCATCCTGCCAGCACTGCAACTGCAAGAAATGGGGCAAATCAGCAAGAGAAAGGCCAATCCGAAGGGTTCCCAGCATCCGAGATATCTCAGCTACCTCGCTGCAGATGTATCCAGCACCTATGGCACCTACAACATCCAGCATAGCCCCACTCTGATTTATGACAAGCTGGGAAGGTACCTACAGCTGCAGTTTTGCAAGAAATGATGCTGCACTGGTTTGCAGTTTGTTAACCAAGACTGCCTGAACAAGAAAGGAATATTTTCCTAAAAATAGAAAACACACAAGATTGCCTAAGACCTGAAGCTTCTCATAGAAAAGCATCCCACTCATGATTGTTGAAGTGGATTTTACAAGACTAACTGTGATGACATTCAAAATTTAATACAGCTTTTAAAACAAGACCGTGTGTAGTAAAGAGTGATGTAGTGACAACATTTACTTGGCTGGATTTAGCTTCTTAGGGCACATAAATATACTTTTGTACTTTAAGAACAGCCATAGCTGCCTACTAAATCTTGAATAATACAAGGCAGCTTTGTAGACCTTTAAACACATGCACCAACTTGGTTCTGTCTCCTTCACAAATCTGCCTCCTTACTATCTGGTCAGTCAGTCCCCAAGGCCCTGTTCTGCTTCTCTTTTGCAAACCTTAGCTTTTAAAATTAAACTGATTGGAAATCACACTTTTAAATTCCTATGCTTTTTGAGTATGGAATCCATTACTTTCAGAAAGTGGCCAAGTTTGTTTCCCCCCCTCCCCAGTTACAAAACAAACTGAAAACCTTATTTGTTTTTCTTGGTAAATACGTGATGAATTTTGTGCAACTTCATTTGAAAACTGTTTTATTGACCATATGCGTGAAAACTCTATCATAAATATAAATTAAACTGTAGATTTCTGCTCAGCACTGAATAAGAAATTTCTTTGGCATAACAGTTAAAAAAGACAATTTAAAAGGTATTGCAGTAGAATAGGAATAGCTGGAAAACACTTTTGAAAGCAAATAGCAATATTTTAGATTATGGTTTTTCGGAAAGCCAGATCTGAAGGATGTTACAGTGCTCTGATTTCCAGAGAGCATCCTGATTCCAGTATCAGAAAATCATGTCTCTTGCAAGTGCTTCATGCTCATGTTGTTGACCACTTCATAGGTAAAAATAATACTTTAGCTACACATCGTGCTTTCTAATATACTGGTTACCAAAACTACACGAGGACTAAGTGATATTTTGCCAAATAATGGGACTACATTTGAAAAACCCAAATTCAGCCAGGACCTGCCATAAACCTGGGTAAAAGCCCAGATCTGCTGTCTGTGTCTTATGCAGAAATTTGGCTCAGGTCCTGCTGGCTGCCCCAGCAAGAGGAGCCCAGCAGCATCCTAGCTTGATGATGACCTTGCTCTTCCCCTGTCATGGGGCTTTCTAGAGCTTACTCAGGGGCCTTGGGCAGAAATTAGGGTAACTTTTAAGGACAATCTTCCATAGCCACCCATACTAGCCCTGGTCCTCCCAGCTGCCGCACCAGCTCCACCATGCAAGTAGCTTCCAAAAAATCACATTTCTTGCCCCAGTGCAGGGCACTACCCAGACACAGCACTTATACTTCCAAGAAGGATCAGTCACAAGCTCTAGGACCAGTGTTAAACAAGCGAACCCATAAATGACAGAACTTAAAAAAAACAACCCTCAACTTTTGCCTACATACGACAGTATCCCCTGTATGCAGCAAAGGGTTTGGACTATTTCCATGTTCATTTTTGCTGCTGCTGTACTTATAAAAACACATTGTTCTTTCCCTGTGACATTTCTTCATATTTTTGAAAGAATACTCTCCATTAACACAAAATATCTGGCTTGAATCCTCCAGTGAGGAGGAGCCAAGGGTTTGGCTCATGTTTAAAAACAAAAGAAATATTACTCTAAGCATAAAACAAATGAGTGCAACTGTAACAGTAGATGGAGATAGAGCTCCTAGCACAACCTATGAATAATTCCAAGTCATATTAGAAGTAACACAGCTTTCTGAATTTCCCTAGAAAACAGCATGTCATTATGAGGTTCCAGCTTGACTAAAATGCAAAATGTCACTTTTTTCAGAGAAGAAGCTAAATGAAAGACAATATGTAGTGTAACAACTAAACAGCAAAGCATATCCACTTACAATCTGAAATTGTGAAAGACAATGTGTGTACACATAAGCATAGAGATATTAAAAGATGTCTCTTACCTCCATCCCCAGATCCTGAGCCAGCATCTGAAATCAAAACAAAACAAAACAGAAAAATTTATATTCATGTACTACAGTATGTCCTGTAAGCATACAAAGCAAAACTGTTCAGTTAAGTGTATTACAGCATATCTCATGTTTGATGTCATCCCTGGGTAAATTACAGAGATCTAATCGGAACGTAGTTCACTCAAGCCATCTTTCTCATGTCTCAACGATTTCTCTTTAAAGTCTCTATGTCACACTAAAATAACATAAGCCCTGGAGTGCTGTAACATCCTCATAAGCCTCTGCCTCATTTTGTTGTACTGAGACTGATACAGTTTTGTTCCCAACAGTTGTGCAAAGTTACTTCTCTTGGCCACTATTAAACCCACACCATCAAAGAGAATTTTTTAAACCCATTTGTTTAAGGCCAGACCAATTGAAAAATCACATCATTATCTTTACAAAATAGTGACATCTCATCAGATCATAACTAGTTGGAATAAACAATAGAAATTATTATTATTCAAAGATTCAATGATTAAAATTCCATTTTTCACAAAGTTGTTGCTGAGTTTCAAAACAGTGCATTATTTTTTCCTCTGCTCAATGTTTTGTTGGCTGGAATGACAAGAATCACAAATTTAGAAAGTGCAACATCATGAAATTGCCAAGCCTGGAGCTTTATTATGAAACTTTCTAAGCAAGGCAAAGCACAGAAATGCACACACATGTAGGGTTACTAGAAGTAATCCATATGAGGAGTTTCTTTTGCAGGCAAGGGAGGGAGACTGTCATCCCATCTTCCTTTTTAGTGTACGGGTTATCCATTTATCAGAATCAAGATTAATAGAGTTTCAAAAGGCTGCTTTGGGATCCAGTTACCCTATGAACTGTTAGATCTAATTTACTGACAGCACAGTTTGGTGGATCTGAACTGGCTTGTACATGCCATTATTGCTCACATTTTAAAAAAGGAAAATCTTTAAATAAACCTGCCACAGGAATGGCTTAAAATGGTAGATTTACATAGCAAGACTGCAGGGGATATGTGCAAGAGGGTTGGAAAAGAGAACAGAAAATGATGGTGTTTTGCCAGTGATCAACTCCTGCATTTTCCTGATGTGATCTTCTGTCCTGATGCACTTTCCCAAATAAGCTACCACGGAAAAAGTAAAGAAAGGAGTCTTCATTGCAGTGCCTTCATGGCTCTGGGAAGCACTTTTTTTTCCAGGTATGCCAGTTTTGGCAGGTATGCCCAGCACAGAGAAAGAAATGAACATCCACCATCACCTGCCTCCTGCAATTAACTGCAATATTCCCTGGCTCTTTGGAGGAACAAGACCTCATGTCTCTCCTCCTGCCCCTACCCTTCAATGCCCAGACCCCTGCCAGTCATGGCCAGGAGAGCTACTTGCTGCTGGACCTCTCGGCAGCCCAGGTGCCTGCTGGAGGTCCTGCACACCACATCTTGTCTTCGCCCTGTGTCACAGGGAAGACCTTAGGTACAGGGCTGCTCTCTTCTCTGCTGAGCCTCCTCTTTGGGAGAGGGAAAAAGAGGCCAAATGGTCAAGATCTCAGGAAAGTTCTTTTTTCTTTTCTCCTTTTTCTGAAATCCACAATGTGTTTCAGAGGGAATGCTTCCAACATGACCATCAACAGTAGGCAAGCCAGTTTAAGTAAAGATGTACCAATGCACTGCAATTATCCTTTAAATAAAAAAGTTTGAACCAAAAAAGATCAGTTGCTGTGCTGAGAGAAATTACTAAGTTGAACAAAACCTATGCTAGAATAGGCTCTGTCAGCCTGAGCTCCATTTAATACCAATTTATAGACAAAAAAATTGCAGCATAATTTTTTTCTCTTGAAAACCGTGAGGTGACAGCTTCAGAGAACAACATTATTCCCAGGGAAAGAAGTTTATATGCTTTCAGGTGTACAAAACACAAAATTACAGCACTGCAAAAAGTTTGTTTAATGCACTTTTTATTGACTCCTCCATTCTCAGCTAAGAAAAAATTCTGCTTTTAAACTTAAAGAACTCTCTCAAGAACAAAGACTTACTCCTGCTTTTTCAAAGGTAGCTTCACTGCCCACTGCTAACAGACACTAAGCACAAAAGAAAAACATCAAGAACTCCTGCACATAAGCAGCTTGGATTTCGTGACTGATTTTGCTCATTCACCTTTCTAGCCATTTCATAAAACGGACACAAACAGCTCACGATGGTCAGTGTTAAGCAAAGAGGTCTCAAATGTCAGTCAGTTTTCACATATGCTCTTTAATGAATTTTTCCAACAAGTCCAGTAAAAACCTCTGTTGTACAGACACAATCATTAAGAATGTTTTGGGCCAGATCTTCAGCTGGTATAAATTGGCAGGGCTCATTACAACCAGTGGTCTGTTGCATCATATCAGCTGGGAATCTGGCCCTACATGCATAAGGAAAAACCTAAGAAACTGGACTGCAGGCAATAATGCTCCAGTTCTATCTCTCCAGATTATGGAGAGGTTTGTGGTAATCCAGATGCCCATTTATGAGACATCTGCTCGTTTAATCTGCTTCCAGTTACTTGTCGGAGCAGCTCAGAAGTATATGCAGCACACAGGATGATCAGGAGCACAAGATACATATTAAAAAAAGAAATCAACTTCTGTGCTGTACTTTTCAAAACAGTGTCAAGGGTATGCTGTACCATAGCTGTGAGCCTATACTGAGTTAGTTACTTAAAAGAGAAAGATGACAGCAACTTTTCATTCCGAAGACTGCAAAGAATTAACCTGTAATGAACTCAAAGCAGGGATTCAAATGCCTTTTGCCATCCACAGTTTATTTGGTTGAGAGGCATGGCAAGATGCGTAGGCAGCCTGGAGCATGTTGTACGTACCAGTGGCACACGATCCTTCGGACACCAGGAGTATTTCGCTCTGCTGCTTGCAGGCAGCCTGTTTCAGGTAGCATTCATTTTGGTAGGTGTCGCCGTTGGAGCCACACACGGGCACGTAGTCATTGTTACACTGATGGGAACGGACAGAGAGCAGCAGTGTTAGTCACACAAGGAGGGTGGCACAGCATCCATTTGGGTGTCCCATCTGCCCCCCCGCCCACTTCCAGTATTAAAACCCTGGGAAAACACCACTGGGGGAGACACTGACCCTCCTCTTCACCTTTACAGCTACTAAAGGAGAGGGAGGGGGGATGTTTAAAAAGACAAAAGGCAAAGGAGCATAAATCAGACTTGAACAGGTTAGGGAAAAGGTAATCTGAATGGTCAAAGTGTTCAATAAGTGTCCCCAGAGAGGCCTCTCCCCGTGAGAACAACTGGGGCGTTCCCAGGGAAGGAATACGGGTAAGACAACCGGCTCCTGGCATCTGCAGTAGTGGCTCATGTGTTTCCATTGGATGGCTACAGACAAATTGTAACCAACAGGCTCACTTTTCCCCTCCTTCTGCACATACACATCCTCACTGCTAGAGAGACAGTTGCTGGCACATTCAGAAGTGTCCGCCTGTGTGTGTATAACTCTCTATTTAAGTACTTAGCCATAATTAGAACCGATTGGACAGAGGGAAATTATTTCTGAGAGACCTATGATCAAGACCCATCCCTCTTTCTGCAGAGACGTTTCTGTTCCCAGTGAGCTGCGCCCAGGATGCTCTGGGAAGGTCAAAGCTCTCCCTGCAGCGGCCGGCGGGCAGGAGCGGCAGCACCACAGGCAGCTCAGCCAGCACACAGAAGAGCACAGGAGTTATGCACACCACACACCTCTCCTTCAGCTCAAACTCCTGCTCAGCTCTGCAAACTGCCTGCTTCGTTCCCTCTACTGCTGAAAAACAGCTTTGCCCTCTCTTGTTCATTTTAATAAAAATAATTCCATTTTATACTGAAAATTGGGCAACCTACCGGGTGCAGTTATCATAAGATAATAACACTCTGAGGCTTAGAAATACTTAGATGTACCCTGTACATGGCAATTATACCAGGGATATGATTATCTCATGATTACCATACTCCTGGTATGCCTCATTGTTTAATTATAACAAATGGAATTATCACAATTATTATTTACAAATGCTCACCTCTGCTTAAATCCAAGTAAAAATTAGAAAGAAATCATATTTTCTATTTATCTCTATTATGCCAAAAAATGTCTGAGGTGTGTTCATCAGGCACAATGTAAAATGCAGAACTGAAATTCCACGAATATGAACATCAAATACGCTTCAAAATGAATGACTACAGAAGTGATTAACACAAACAACTGCATAGATTGCATTAATTGCAGGCCTCCACACAGAGCAGCTGCCAAGAAATTATTCACAGTTGGTCAGTGACATTTTGACTGGGCCAAATCAAATGACATTTTCCTTATGCATTGTATTTTCTTAAATTTTCCCAAGCTGCTGCCCATCCTCAGCACACTCTTGCCTCAGAAAAGAAAGAAAACCAGCAGTCACAACAGTAGAAGTCCTCTCCTTCCACTCCTAATGAAGGGCTCCTCCATGCAGAGATTTTAAACAGCTGATGAAAAGGTGTTTCTGCTCTATCTTCACCATTAAGTTCCAAATCTGAGCAATGTTTCAAGCAGTAAATGCCAACTTCATCTAGAAGCTCAACAGCAATTGTTGGAGACTGATCTGGAATACTTAACCAGGACAATTAACACAATCATGCACATTTTTTAAAGCATGAAGCATCAAATCATGCTTGCTTTACACATCCTATCTGCTTGTCACCCATGGGACTTTTTGCCAGAGCAATCTGCAAAATTTGGCCCAAAGTATCTCAACAGGCTCTGTTATACGTAGAAACAACGTTGGATCCTGTTCCCAAGAAACACAGTAGCAAACTCTCTGGTGGTTTCTCCCAGAGCAAGAGGCAATCTTTTATACTGATTCTGCTGTGAATCTGAAAGGCTAGACGGCCCCTCGTTAACAGCATACAGCAGTAAAAGTGAAACCCTGATCCACAGAAACCATTGACAGAGCTGCTATGAGCTAGGCTGGAACTTCTTCCAAAGTTTCGTGATTTTAAAGCACATCTGAAAGACACCAGGGCTCCAGGAAGGATTAACTCTTGTGGCAGGAGTTTCCCCATCTCTCCTGCGGCTCTCCTGCCACACTCAAGCATGGCTTTGGCCAGCAGAGGTAGAGGGTACTCCATGATAAGCACAGGTGAAGCAGCCTTTACTTTCTCAGACTGTGATGGTCCCAGCTGCATTTCTTCAACTGCTGCCCATTCTTCCCACCATTGCCTTCAGACATCTGGTATTCAGATGGAAAAGGCAGGAATCTAAGGACTGCTGATGAGTCACAGGAAACAACAGAAGTGAGAGCTTCCAGAAGGATTCTGCCTTGGCTTTGAGCTGGGATGGCTCTGAAAGCCATCATAAAACTGTAGCGGAAGTTACCCAGGAAAGAAAACAAGACCACCGATGAGAAGGTTGTGATGTTAGTCACCAGGTTACTCCTGACCCACTAGAGCTAGACTCTTGTACATGACCACACTGAATCCAGGACTCACAGCTCTTCACTGTCATAACACACTTCCTGGTAGTATTGAAAGATACTAGACCTTGACTGTCATAGTTTCCTCAATCTAGTGACACATTGTTGGGATTGGTTTAGGGCTCAACAGGCCAAGCCCTAGATGTGAGAATCATTCTCCATTCCTAAAGTCAGTCTAATCAAGCACTCGGGGACATCCATGTCAAAACTCCCACTAAACCCAGCAGCATAGTGTCATACTGTCCAATTCTTTTGCATGGAGGTTTGTAAAATACAGCTGTAGAGAGGGGAAATGGATGTGTATTCAGTCCCTCCAAGTATCAGTCAAAGGCTGCCTTTCTCAGCAGCCTTGGGGGCCCACTATCATAACCAGAGACAAGCCAGCTTTGCAGCGTTGGGGTCAGTGCTGTGCCCTGAAAGCACATCATCTATTTTGGAAAGAAAATGGTAACATGTAACACTGTTAAAAGTTTGACCTCCTCCCACCCTCATGGATTAACTGCTCCCAAAACGTCACCCATGTTTTGAACCAAGCAGCATGAAAATATATTCTGGAAACAAAATAATGCTGCAAGTTGTCAGGTGATGTTCCAGCTCCACAAACACTGGAGCATGTGAGGGAACCAACATCCATGAAAACTGGAGTCCTTCCTCATGTTAAAACCAATGAACGTCCACAGTCCTGGTGACTGAAGTGAAAAGATGTGCAGCATTGATGGAGATACCCTGGTATATTTTTTGATACATTCATGAAAACCGAGAGGGAGAACCCATGCTGCCAGATCTACGGCTTTGGGCAGACTGGGGTACAGACTCCAGCGAGCTGTGTCTCCAATCTCCTGGCACAGCTCTGCACTGTCTGCTGGACCTGTTGAGTTTGCTCTGTGCAGGGACGGAAAGGGGTGGTGGCTTATGCCACGCTCAGCTGCACTCCTGGAGGCAGCACTGGCCCAGTGCCTTCCCACCAAGCCAGCACCACGGCCTGGGTCTGCCCCAAGAGGGGGACAGGTCTGCATTTACTGCTCAGACCGGGACATGCTGTTCACCGGTGCAAGGTGTGTCTGTTGTTGTGAGGATTTAGTGAATGGGCTATCACTTTGCAGTAGAGTGCAACAAGAGCCAACCAATATGAATTCATTACTTAGCATGTGCCTGCCTGCTCTCCAGTGATGGAAGCCTAACTCAGGTGTTCCAGAGCAGTCTGATCATGTTCATCATGTCAAATAACAATAAATTAATTTTATGAACTCCACTTGGACAGACAGCATGCATCTACAATTCTGTTTTGAAAAAAAAAATCCCAGACCAAGACTGCAGCCACCCTGCTCCCACCTTCTGCCTCCCCTAGCCCCTCAAGACACAGGCTGGCCAGCCCAGGACTTTTTTAACGGTACAGAATCAAAATTAGCTTTCCGTCCTTGTCTGTTCTCTCAAGCTGCAGCTAAAGCCCCTGGCAAATTCTGGAGAAAACATAAAAAGTAATTATAGTGACGAGGCATCTGCTATTGATTTCCTCACTATCACCCCAGAGAGCTGCCACTGAAATGGGGGACCTGAATTCTGATGGAAGACCCCCTTTACTCCTGACACAAATTACCTGACTGGCTCTACCTTACTTGGCCAGCCTCAGACGCCACACTACAAATTAATTTTCTACTCTGGTGGCATATCTTTTTGGCTTGTCACATTGTCCACTGATGTTACAAGAGAAGCTAACATTTCCCCAGCTCTGCCTGTATCAAAGCAGACGCATTTGACTACAGAAGCCCCCGGCACCACACTGCCCTTCGCACCAGCACAGGATTAGCCACAGGTAATTTGCCCTCCAAGGTCACAGTCAGCCCTGTGGCTCCACGGAGGGCTCAAATCAAGACAAAGAGCTCCGAGTGTTCACAGGGCCTGATCCAGAGCACACTGAAACCAAAGACTACTGCTGATTTCAATCCAATTACTAGTGATCAGGCCCACAATTGTCCAACTCATTACTGTGATCTCATTTACATATTCATATACCAATGATCTGGTTTCCTTAAATCCGTTTCAACTGTCCCCTACAGAACTGCTCACCTCAGCATATAGATAGCGTTCACCTCTCAAAGAGGAGACAATACAGCCCAGAGAGGTTTACTTAGCTTCATTTATCCTGAATCACCAGGGACCAGCCTTGGGAAAACAGAGCTCCCCAATGCCTTTTTCCTTGTTGGTAACAACATCTGGATTTGCTCCTTCTAGTCGATGAGACCACTGCTTTATGTCAAATGGCAACACCAAACTGGGACCAAAGACAAGACCCAAGCGCTCTCTGTGGCTGCTCTAAGTTCTCAATGCTCATGGCACATCTGCCCTAGCTTACCAGCAGGCAATGAGACAAGTCACAGACATTTCACTACAGATTTTTCCTAGAAAGAGGAAACAGACCAACCCTTCAATCACTACACATGCTGAGCTGAGGCAAATGCTCAAAACACCATTCCCACATGGAATTTTTGATTGCATGTAAACTAGAAATGGAACGAAAAAAAAAAAATCCATGGTCAATATGAACTCTGCCCCAACATGGAAAATACAAGCACTTCAGCAAAGAACTGTCTTCCTCTTCTTACAGAAAATTCCTTCTTTGTTTCAAATGAACACACTGCACACTTGGGTTTCTTTTCTCCAAAGACACATTTGGCTCTGGAAATATAAATGATACTTGTCATGCTTCAAAGCAAATAGTCTATCAAAGCTCAATAATAAATTAATCATTACAGATGTGCACAATCTTGAACTATTTGGCCTGCTTTTACTGTAAACACTCAAATCAGCATTACAAGTTCCACAACTTCAGAGATCCACATTAAAATGCAAGGAACCACTGGAGCATAAACATACATACAACACATGCTGGCACATGCTTAAAACTCCTTTAATTTGTTCAGTTTTTATTTCGGTCATTATGTAAAGCACAGCTGGTTTGTGAGTTGGCTAAAACATATTAAATGAAATACTTCACAATGAAATGGTCTGACTTTGAAAATGCCTGAGGTTTAGATATAGCTGCAAGAGGGAAAGAGCAGAAATAGAAGGAAAAATCCCTACTACTCAGTAATAGCTCCTCTGAAACTATATAAAACCTAAAGGAAGTTCATGATTTTGGAACAGAGGGATTGCTCCTTAATCTGATCAGCTGGGCAGATAAACAGGCAGAAGCATTGTCACCATGCAGCCCTTCCTGAAAATATTGCATAAGCACATTACAGATCCATTTCTTTAACTAGATCAGAACTCCGAATACAATAAACCATGATCTGTATCAGGAATGAATTTAGAAAGGACTCTAAATCCTTGCTAAAAGGGCAGAGACGAAAAATCAGAAGTGTACAACCTGAAACTGCAGACCCAAAGAGACATTTAAAGCCACAGCATCTGCATTTTCCCAGAGAAACTTATTTCGTCTTGACACCAGTTGGTTCTCCTGCCGGCTTTTCCCCTCTAACTTCTCAGCACGTAGAGAAATAAATTGCTAAGCGATAGGTGATAAAGGAAGATCCTTGATTTGTATTCCCATTAGTGAATTAGAGAATGAAATATCAATCTTCTTACCTTGAACTGACAGACACAAGTCACACTGTCTCCAATCCTTAAACACTCCCCATCAAATTTACAGGTATTGGTGTCGCAGAGAAAGAGATCATTTTCTCTGTCATCATAACCTCAAAGGTAAAGAGGGAAGAAAAAGTCAGTTTTGGTCTAGCTAGAGGAACAATACAGAATGATTACATTTTAATGCACACAACACAATAACCTTGTTGATGAAACCATACAGTCCAGATTTTCTTTTGTCCTTCCCTGTCCTCAGTTTTCCACTTTTAGTCTTGTTTATCCCTCAGTCTTTCTATTAGTCCTTATTTCCCCACAGCCTCACACACTTTTTTTTTTTTCTATTTCACAGACTCAATTTCCTCAAAAGTGTCCCAGTAATTACACTATTTCACGGCTCTGGGTTGGAAACATCATCAACTTAACCCCATCCGATTGCAAATCTGTCGAACAAAAGTCCAAATTGGAATTTCTCTAGCCCACGATGCAACAAAGCCCCCAGTAATAAAGACAAACAGGCTGTGTGTTTTCTGTGATGGTCTGCCTGATCCCAATGAAGATTGATCACCTTTAAGTTAACAGAAGTGCCAGGTTCCCCAGAAGTCGCTGAGTGAACCTAGCTCTTTGCCTTTAATTTTCTCCAGGAAAAACCAACAGATCTGACTGAAGATTCAGTTCACGAATACAAGCATGAATTTCAGATTTCGCTAGCTGACTTCCCACTCCGACAGCGTGCAGCAAGGTATTAAATAAAACAGCTATATCAGACTCCAAACCCATTAAGATTTAAATCCATCGATTTTTTTTTAAAAAACATCCTAGTGCTCTTAACCATATCACTACACGTTGCAAGTGAAGAGCTTACAATGGAAATTCCCCCCCGATCTAACATGTTATGTGTGATGCACACTCATTACCGTAAATAAGGCTGTTACAGCCGTATTTCTGAATTACTTTGAGTATCAGAGAAGCGCCGGCTAATGACCTACATCAGGATCTCTCTATAAAGGTCAGCTCGCATTTAAGGAACAGGCACCGGTTCCCAGTGTGGCGGCATCTGTACCCCAATTTGCTCTCAGTTCAAGGTGCATGGAAACAGCCGCCCGCAGGACGCGCACACTCGGTCGGTCTCCCAGCTCCCCTGTCCCGCAGCCACACGCAGAGTCGACCCCTTAAGCGCGGAGTTGCGCTCCGGCGGGACCAGGGAACTCCGCCGCGGGGAGCCGCCCG